TGCCAATCTAGTGACAGCAGAAAGTTGTGCTATTGATGTGTATGGCTTGTTCGTTTGTGGGCCACATATGCCTGAACTTACTCAAATGGAGACTTCGCCGTTGAAAGGAACACGACTCGACAGTTCGGCCCGGAGAAAAACAGGAATCGCCAGCGTACATGTTGGAAGTTTGGACATCAAGTTAAGGGGTGTTTCGCCGCATCAAAGCATGCCGCATTTGTCCAAGCCACTTGTGTGCAAGCCGGCAACCTAAGGTTCCTGCTTGCGCACATCTAGACTTCCGGCCATGTTGTTGCCTTGGAAGCATCAGCAGTTGCCACGATTCGACAAGTGCTTCAGCCAGCATCCAGCCCAGCAGGCATTAAGCACCACATGAAAGCCTAGCGTCACGTAGACGTAGCATGGCGCATCGCCAAGCAGCTTCAAAGGTGAGATGGGAGAAGGAGATTGCCGCGCAGTGGTGGAAGCTTGACTTGGCGCCAGAGGAGTTTGCGAGCAACCGGGAGGTGGTGATGAGCGCAATCCTGCAGGATGGTTTGGCGCTGCGCCACGCGTCCCCAGAGCTGCAGAAGGATTGGAGCGTCGTGGCGCAGGCGGTGTGCCGCGATGGGGAGGCGCTGCAGTATGCGATCGCGGAGCACCGGGCCGACGCGCGCCTGGCGCGCTGGGCCATGGGCTTGCGAGACGTGGCCGGCATCGAGGAGTGGACGGGCCCGGACCTGTCTGAGTTCAACACGCTGGCCACGAGTCGGCGCCCCCAGCCCAACGCCATCCGCCACGCAGCGGAGCAGCTCCGGGCGGACGCGGATTTGATGCTGTACGCCATCAAGGAGTTCTGGTTCTGCGCGGACCACGTGGCGATGCCGCTGCGGGACTCCTGGGCCTTCTGGCGGAAGGTCATCGAGTCGAGCGAGGTGGGGTGGCAAGCCTTCGGCAGCTACGCCCCGACGCATCTGCGGGAGGACGAGACGCTGGTGGACCTGGCGGTGCAACGCGACGCCTTGGCACTGCGCTTCGCGGGCCCCGCGCTGCGCAAGCGCCGCGCCTTCGTGGAGCGCGCCGTGGCGCGGGACTGGCGCGCCCTGGGCGCGGCGGACGAGGCCTTCCGCACGGACGCGGAGTTCCTGTACCTGGCGGCGCGGCAAAGTCTGGAGGCCCTGCAGTTCGCCAAGGGGGACTTGGGCGACATCGCGCGCCGGGCCGCGCAGCCCCCGGCGCAGCAGGCGCCAGAGGAGCAAGAGGCCTGGACTGGTCTGCAGGACGTGGAGGAGACTGAGCGGCGCAACAAGAAGAGGCAGGAGGTGAAGGAGCAGTGGAATGCATTGATGCAGAAGCTGTCGGAGACCCACGGGCGTGCGCTGTCCTACATGAGGGTCACGGGCGTGGACCGGGAGATGACCCTTGAAGCGGTCAAGAAGAACGGGGTGGCCTTCGCCTATGCGGAGGACGAGCTCCGGGAGGATCGGGATCTGATCAACCGATCTGTGGAGGCCAACATCGGGTTCTGCTCCGGGCTGATTTGGCGGGAAGAGGTGAAACCTCCCGAGGAGGTGGATGACCTGCAAGACGATGTGCCCATGCCCGAGCGTGAGCGCAAAGCCAAGGGCAAGGCAAAGAGGCCCAAGTCAGCCACCAAAGAGCACGCTTAAAGCTGGCGTGGAAATGAGCGAGGCTTTTTTGGGCTTGAAACAGAGTCAGCAGAACTGGCTGTTCTTTGGACAAATTCAGCAAGCTCGTTTTGAACCCCTACCTTCGGCTTGACCATCGCAGGCTTTTCCCCAGCAAAGCCAAGCCATCTCTTTGTGACATGGAATCAGCATGGTGCAGAGCCCTCAAGCTCAATCAAGAGACTGTCTTTCAAGATTCTTCCAGCAACAAGATGCGGCAAGTCAAAGCCCGTACCCGTTTGAATGGCACCGAGCCCTGCGCGCTTTGCGTGCTCTGCTCGCTCTGTGCGACTGCGATGGCTGCTGCTTCCGCTGCTGCATCTTGCGGCGCGGCGCGGGTCACATGCGACTAAAACGGGCGGAAAGTCGCTTGTCAGCCACACACGGATGCTGCAGTGGGCTTGTGCCCCTGCCAATTGCATTATGCACATGCGATTGCTCACCTTTCTTGCAGGGGCAAGCTGTGGCTGCTACCCAGGCAGGACAGAAGATGTCAAGTTGCAACTTTGCAGCCTCGGATAACTTTCCATTGCGAGCTCTGTGCTGGATCCAAGTGGCTACAGAGGTTTGGGCCGCAGGGCCCCGTTTCGGGCGAGTCAGGCCTGAAGTGACCGACGCGCACAGGTCTGAGCTGCGGCGAGCTGCTGCAGGCACGACTGCTCGCTGGAAGCTGTTGCCGTAGAAAAATATGTAAATATGTTTGGCTGTGTACTATGTTGGCGCACCTTGACATGTCTTGTCCATATATTTTGATCACGAACAGTGCAGCCACCGCCGCAATCACCAGCATTTATCATTCCTCATCAATCATTCAACAGTCATCATCATCATCATCATCACACATTCACCAACTATTTTCAAGGCTCTCTCTCTTGGCTCAAGTCAAGAACCATGCGTTCTTGTGTGGGAGCCCGGCAAGTCGCATTGGGAAAGACGTCCTTGAAACGGACGCTCAGCGAGGCGGCCTGTTGCTGCCGGGCGCGGCTCGGGCAGCTGGGCTCAATGAGCTGCTCCAGAGGAGGCGCGAAATCGCGAGGGGTCGGGTGACTTGAGGAACTCTGTGTTCAAGTGAACTTGTTGCTTGCGAGGAAGGACATGGGGAAAATGCCCCAAGGCTTGTTTCGGATTAATCAACAAGGATCAGAATGTAGTTCCCTTTAATAAAAATAAAACACAGTATGATCAATCTGAGCGTTTCATGTTTCCGAAGTAGACAGTAGTCACTGTGGCTTTCAAAGTTTAGGAGACTGCTCGAACCAGCCGGGTTGCATGCTGGCAACGCGCACGCCTTAGGACTGCGCGCGACCTCACCTCGCCCATCTTCAACATTCCGCCCAAGCAGCAGGTGAGGATGCCAATCTGAGAGAAAGGGCTAAAGATCCGAAGCCATGGAAACCGGACGAGTAAATTGCAAGGACCGGCGCCTTTGACTTTTGCCGTTTTTGCCGTGAAGTTCGCTTGAAGTTCGCTTTGCAGGTCTACCCCGAATGGCTGGAGGGCAACTGGACCGCGGCCAGCCGCTTCGTGGGCTTTGAGTTCCCCACGCTGCCGCGGCAGCAGGTCATGCGCGAGGCCGTTTTGGTGTCGCCGCGTCGCCGCGTCACTGCCATGTCTTCCTCTTTCTCTCTTTCTCTCTTTTTCTCTCTTTCTCTTTCTCTCTTTCTCTCTTTTTCTCTCTTTCTCTTTCTCTCTTTCTCTCTTTTTCTCTCTTTCTCTCTTTTGCTCCTGAGGAGGACGTGCCCGGCTTCAAGAAGTGCTCCATCATCGACTTTGCGGACGTGGGCAAGTCGCCTTTGGAGTGGCTTCTCTCAAGCGATTGCGCGACCCAATGCATAGCATGAATAGCCGCAATAGCTGCGTGTGTGTGGTTTTGTTTTCGGCGGTGCCTGCTTGCACAGGTCGTGCTCGACTGAGGTACAACATGAGCTTTGTCAGGGATGGCGAAGGTCAGGGAAAGGGAGCGTGGTACTGATGCATATTTAAGCTCATAGCTTAGGAACAGCTCTGGGCTCTGGCTGAAGTCCCGCAGGTGTCGTGGAGGACTGGCCGCAGAATCTGTGCTCGACGGTTCTGGCGCACTTGGAGCCGAAGGGCCGCGTCACCAGTCGCCAGCTTGGGATTGCAAGTTCGCCCGAGCTCGGCTGCCCAGAATGTCGATGTGTCAGTACAGCTGAGGTGTTGACTACAGCCCCAAGCAGGACCCGAATCGGCTTACAATGAGGCAGGCCAAGATGCCACGCGTGCCCGTCCCTGCAATTTGCATTGTTGAGGCTGGTGTCCACGAAAAATGCGGAGCGAGTGGAGCTCTTTGTGAACTCCCGCGACTCGGAACAGCCAGAGGCATTTGAGAACTGGCAGGCAAGCCGCAGATGCCCACGCACTTGGCAGGAGCAGACATTTCTGTGCAGTGAGTACCGACGACGCCTGGCAAAAGGGACAGTCCTCTCTGGCCGAGCAAGTTGCATGGGCCGCGCATTGAGGCCAAGTGACCTTCTCTAGTCGAGTAGCGCAAGGCTACAACTGCAACTATCAGCACTTCAAGACCTTCCAGCGCACCTTGGTGCAGTTAAGTCGCCTTTGCGATGAATCCTGGCCACCCCAGGATTGCCAACCGCACGTGGCCCGTGGTGAGAAAGTTTCAGTGGCGGACATTTCTTAGGCTTGGCGCCGGAGAAAGTGCGGCTGAACGTGCTCACAGCATCCTACTTGGACCCTTTGAGCCCCCTCTACTTCGAGACCTTTGACAAGCACCTTGGACGGTGCTGCAAACAGATGGATTTTGAAAACGGCAGGCCAAGCATGTAAAGTGTGACCCAACCGGCCAGCAAGCAAGCGGCCTCGGTTACTTGAAAATGCTAGTATGCTCCAGCAAAAAGTCCGAGAATGTTGGTGACGTCCCATCGATGGGATGATTTTTAGAACCACCTCAGGCGCGCCTTCCTAACAATCTCCCGAGCTGCTAAACAACTTGACCCTGAGCACGCTATCAAACTGCCTCAAGACTATGCGAGGCAAATGGAGGGTAGCAGAACTCTTTTTCAAAACAAAAGCCAGCAGGCACTGTGCCAATTTTTCGGTGCTTGCTGGAGCTAGCGAACATACATCAGGCAAGCCAACACTTTCGGCGCGTCTGCCCGAGCTGAGGCCAGTTGTGGTCTTTGCACATGAGCTTGAGCTCTCAAAGACTTGAAAAAGGTGCTTCGCAGCGTCTGTCTTGCGGCTGGGAATGTGCCATGAAGGGATCCTCCAAACGTTTCGAGACTAACACCGGGGAGTTCGGCCATTTTGGGGAGTTTCGCAGGCACGTTTCATGCATAAATGGGAGTTGCCAAGGTCTACATGACCTGGGACTGCCTCTTTGCTTGTGGGGACGGCCTAGTGCTGGGCGAGGCTGGAACCACAACGCTTGTGAAGGCTCATGGAAGCCACGGTCGGAATTGGTCAAGCACTGAGCGTCATATGCGATAGGCCCTGACATTTTGAAGCGCTTAAAGACGCTTTGGACGTTTTTGATGTTTTTTGACGCTTTGGATGCAGGAGCAATGTGACGATGGTAACTTGGAAGCTTTCGACGGCTGCGACGCCAACTGCCAGGTCCGGACTTGATGTGCACATTTCGCCGGACTGCCCAAAATCCTTGGTGACAAGTCTACTCCCTGATTGGTTTAGACCAGAATACAGGTCCTTATAAGGCTCTATAACTCTCTGCTGGTAGGACACCGGTACCCAAGTGAGCACGAGAGGGGATAGATTGGTTGCCCAGATCGTCCTCTCCTGCAAACAGTATTCGTGCCATTCGGAGGAGATTGGCTTGGAACACGAGCCTTGCGAGTCACAACCCATGGTGCCGCAACTTCAGGGTACTTAAACAAATGAAACTCACACCGCCTAGACGAGGACTGCTGATGCAGTAGCCACAGATTGCAATGTGTCTTCTGCTTTGTGGAAGGCCCTTGCAGGGGACATTTGCTGCGCTTGGCTTGTTGCGCGTTGTTCGTGTTGTGTACACATCGCTTTGGAAGGCCCTACTGGCAGTTGATGCTGGCAGGTGATGAGAGAGATGCAGGATGTGGTGATGCTACTGCTATGGATGTGTGTGTGTGTGTGCAGTTCAGGGTGGAATTTGGAAGATGTAAATGAGGATTTTCCTCGTCGCAGAATCACCGGCTGTGAAGGCGGTCCATTTCGCATGTATGTTGCAGCCAGGTGGAACCGGGCTTTGTGTGCGACGGCTCCACGGGAACCGCCCCCTCACAGTCAAAGCCTCACGGAACCTGTGGTCCTTCATGTGTCGCCTTGTTGCACTGCGTGGCGCTGTGTGCTCTTAGAGTGTGGATTTGGCCTTTGTATGTGTTTGCCTTTAATTAGTTTTTTGAAGGAAAGTGTTAAGGGCGCCATGCTTTGAAGTGCTGGAAGGCTTGCATAGATTGACCGAGGTGTCGGCCCAACAGCATCAAGCTGAGCAAGAGGGGTCGTGCGTATCGGAGTTCGCCATGCCCAAGGCTGCGGCGCTGCGCCCAACCCCACAAGCGTGCCATGTCAGGCGCGGCCGCTGTCTCGGCAGTTGGCGCATGTTGGCGCTTGATCCAAATGCCAGGCTGGCGACGAGGCAGAGGTGGTGTCCTGCCGGAGGCGCGCGCACTGCGCGCACCTCAAGCCCGCCCTTACCCCCACACACTGGCCCTGGCGGCCAGGACCAGCGCGCTGGACGCATGCCAAAGCGGCAATGCCATGGCACCCCCGGAGATGCATGCCGGGAGCCCGCTGCCCCACACGCAAAGTGGACGCAAGCTGCAGACCCAGGCTGGCTGCGTCAGTGGAGACCAACGCCCGGGAGCCTTGCAAAGTTCTGACATGCTTCACGTGTCAGGATTTCAAGATATGCGCAGCCCCGGGACTCATTCCTGGAGCCCTTGAAACACATGCTACAACCTTGTAGAGCATGCGTTGCCAAGGCTGTGAAGTCGCAGCCGCGCACCCGAAGGTCAGGGTGGAGATTTTTGGGCCCAGCTGCAGCAGTGACGAGTGCTAGGCCAAAGTTTGGTTTTGTTATGCGTGAAGGGGACCCTTTTGATTGCTCTTCAAAAACAAGGAAAGACACCCAACAGTGACACTGAAGATCCTTGGAAAAGGGAACTTGCATGTTTCATGCTGCCTTGGGCACGTTGCTTGCAGGGCGTTACGTCCTTTTTGCGTGAGGCGGTGGTGGCGATGTTGGTCCAGGGCGCGATGCTGGTGGCCTTCGATACTGCCGTGGCGGAGTGGAACGGCCGGGCTGATGCAGTGGGGTCGTTGATGGTTGTGGGCAAGATCCGGGAGCGGGGTGGGAGGGTGGAGGGTTTTTGCGACACACAAACCATGGTGGATGAGGAGTTCCAAACTTGCACATTGTAGACTCAAGCATCATTTTGGCCTCCGATCTGATCGGGGGAGTTGAGACGCGTTGCCAGGCACCAGCTGTGGGACTGAGCTGGACTGCAGCACGCTCTTCTCCCCCACCACGGTCAGCCTGCCAATAGTCGCATCGCATGGACGGAGCATACGGATTTCAGGTGGCCGAGCTCGGCGACGGCGCCAGCTGCATCCAAGGCACACAAAGCCATCTCAATTCAGGCAGACATTGCACATTTCTTCGCTGTTTCGTTATATATATATATATGTATATATGAATTTCTTAATTTCTTCAGGCTCGCTGCGGCACTGGATGGTGCGCCTGGGCTTTGGTGCTGCGCTGGGCCTTGAGGCCTCGGGACCCGTGTCGGGCCACTGGGCGGGCGGAACTGGTTTTTGTCGGTTGAACTTTTTTTGTGTCGCCTCTATGCTTCCGTCTCGCCCCTTTCCCCGCCTTGGCCGCGAGCTCGGGTGATTGGACCGAGTCTCGGTGAATGCTGTTGCTCCCACCCCTCCCACCCCTCCCACCCCCCACCCCCCGCGCTCCCCAACAGGTTCCAAGACACGACCCAATTCTCTCCATCCCTGCATCGTGTCTCGCTGCCCCAACCTGAACTGAGTGCACTGGTTTCCGTGTTTGCTGTTTGTAGCAAATGGCAAGTGAAACTTTGCGGCGTGGCGTTTCTTTGCCCATTCCCAGTGGGCATGCATGCCTTTGAGTTGGACGGCAAGCCAGGCATCCATGGCAGTCTTTGTGCTCGCACGGAGCTTAGCCGATGGTTTTGATGGGCTGGTCACCTCTGGCAGGTTGGCGCCAACGAGCTACGTTTCACATGCACTGCTGAACTTGATTGGGGATGTTCTGCTAATGCTACACGATGGAGCAATGCCAGTTCAAGGGAGCACAACTCAGGATACCGCGCGACAGTACCATCGCTTGGATGCGGCCATTGAGGCCTCGAGTTGTGAAATGGTCTGTTCTGCGAAGTGATGTTATGAAGTTATGATCATTTGGAGCAACACAGGCCTAAGGTCCGTAGGTCCGTCCCTGCCGAGGTGAGCCGTCCCTTCGAGTACCCCTCCCAGCGGCTCTTCCTGGGTCCCGCCGGGCTGCGCAGCACGGCCAGCTGAGACTCGAGCGAAGTCTTTGCCAAGGCCCTCCGAGAGGCTGAGAACTTCGAGCAGCCCCGAGTGGTTTTGTGAGGTCCTGAGACCTCGAAGTCCCCAAAGCCTAGCATTTCCACGCGCATTTCCACGCGCAGGAGGGGTCCACAGACCTGGGGCCCCTGCGGCAACGTGGTGGTGGATGGGTCCCTGTCCACCGGCAGCGGCGGCCGGCCGTGGACATTCGCCCGCTGGCGCTGCACTGGGGACCCCTCACACTGTGCGGAGGCGAGGAAGGAAACGGCCCTGGATGGCGCGAGCGGTAGGGATATGCACAGGGAGTGATGTCGGAAGTTCCCAGATCTACCCGCACATGCCCAACAGCTGCAACCAATTGACGCCTGGGACCCAGCCTTCCCGACATCGATCCGAGTGCCTTTCTGCACTGGGCATGAAGTTATTTGAGGGATCTTCTGCAGATCTTCTGCTTGCTCTTGGCTCTTTGCACGCAGCTTGTGAGCCACAATGAGCCATTTTGCAAACGAAGCCCCGAGGAGGATCTTCCATCCTGTTCCACGTCTGAATTTCTCAGGCCCCTGGCAAAAGCGGGCTTGGCCGTGGGCTCCGTGGCGTGCGGCCTCCTCCTCACGATCCCGGAGGCACTTGCCAAATTTTGTTTGGACAAAGATAAGGCTTTCGGAAAAACGAGACAAAAAGCACAGTCCCTATTTTTTCGCTCGCCTTTGACAGTCCGTGGTCAACAAGCTGACGGTCTCGTTGGCTGTTGTGGTTGCCGGAGCCCCAAGTCTTCACCGATCTCTCCCATGCATCTCTTTTGCTCCTTGGGCAAGAGGGTGGCTGATGGCCTAGGTCTACTTGAAGCTGGAGAACGCATACGGGCACTGGGCCGAGGCGTTCTCAGCGAGCCACGCTGTGAGGCACGTGATTCAGTTGCAGGCCGAGCACACGATCCGATTCACGGTTGATCGACTTCCACTGGCTGGTGCCCCAAAGCTCTTCGCGATGCGCGATGCTGCGCGATGCTTCGCGTTCACGGCCCTTGACGACCCGGAGGTGAGATTTCAGAAGGATTCTTGCGGTTTTTCTGGCAGAAGTTCACTCAGACTGGCCGAATTCTGGCAAGTTGCAGCTCCAGACGGAAGGGTTCCCCCTTTTCATTGTATATTTTTGTTGTTGCATACGTACAATAGTAGACACGTACTAGGCATGTTGGTTTGGAACACTCAGGCCGTGGCGCTCACGGATGAGGAGGTCTTTGTGGACCAGGGCAGCCGCATCAGGCGCGGGCATGCCGGCGCTTGTTTCAGTCGCTTTGCAAAGTAATTCTTCAGCTGATCTGAGGGTTTGCGACAAGTCCGTAGGGAGCGTGCCGTTTCGCAAGCTTGAGGCTGGAGCTCTCTGTTGGGCCAGCACTTCCCGCGTGGGACTCAAATGGGAAGCGAGCCAAAGAGGCGACATAAGACAAAGCCAGCGAGTGGCCCGAGCTGAAGCTCTTGCGATGCACCGGGAACAGAAAGAGAAAGCGAGAGACAGAGACAGACAGAGAGAGAGCGAGAGAGAGAACTAGAGAGCTGCTTGAGCTTGAGCTGGCGGCTGTTCTTGGGAGAATGCTTGCATGGCCCAAGCATTGCGTAGCCTCGGACTGCCTGTGCTGGTAAGGTCGCCTCGCAAGGTGCCGGCAGTGCGCGCAGCGCCGAGACAACTCTCAGCTTCCAAATCCAAAGAGCACTGCCTTTGCATTCTACGTTAATATCATTGCAGATCATTGTTATGATTATGATTATTATTATTATTATTGACATGTTGCATGGTGCTGCATGGCGTTGCACTGCTTTAGGTGCGGTGCTCTTGGCCCTGTGTCGCTGGAGTGGCGCTACGGCCTGGGAGCCCAAGCTGTCCGCTCCAGTGCATTCGACGCGTGGACCGTGCAGGCCTTGGAAGCATCGACGTGGGACAGGCACGGGGCCTCGCAAGGGCCAAGAATGTGGTTTCTTAACGGTTGCTTGAAAAAGAGAGGATTCTAGGATGCACTCTCAAAATCTCTCAAAACCCGCAGTGAATGGGGGGGGGGTGCAAGTTGCAAGCCCCAAATCGCTATGTCATGTGGGGGATCGGCTGCATGCTGACTTGGCTCACACGTCAGCTCCCACACTGGGCTTGACGTCGCATACGAGCTAGTTACATGCCTCTCCACTTGCCATAGGTGTGGGAAACTATGGCCACTCCGCCGCCCTCTTTGTTGGCTACGCTGGCTGCCAAGACTGCAACCCTGGAGGCCGGTCATCTTGGACACATTCTGTACGTAACATATGTGTAATACCTACGCTGTTCTTGGCCAGGGATACCTGGGAGCACTGGACGTGCCGGGCACAAACTGGACTCTGGCGGCACGCTGGAGCCCAAAGCGTCCAAAACACGCTGCATTGGCTCAGCCAGGGATTGTGAGATGCGGAACTTTTATGTCGGTGAACGCCCTGTCACACTTTCAGGTGTCTTTCACGTTGCTGGGAGTTCAGAGCCCGTCTACATGCCCTTCAAGATTGTGGTGAGGCCAGGAAGCAACGCGCAAGCTGAGAGGACTTCCAAGATCCTTTCCGTGAGGCCACAGCCGCCGGCCATCCGGCTGCAGGCGGGTTCGAAGTCGCCATGGGCACAAAAGTGCCGCTTCAGACGCATCGCATCCACACTGCATCCATACCGTGGCATCCTCCGGTCACCCACCCGGTCACCCGATCTTGCCTGAAGGCCCCGGTGCGGATCTCCGACGGCTGCGGCTTTGCGGTGGTGGCAGAGACCAGCCGCCTGTCGGAGAGACGCGTGCATGGAGATCATGGAGCTTTGAAACGATTTGCAATTGACAGTTCGTCTGAAGCGAGCTCTCTGAGGTGGTGTGACGGGTGACCCCTACATCACCTGGAAATGTCCCTTGACAAAACTGAGACGCAGACTGAGGGTCTTGAATCCGCTTTCTTTGCAGGCGTGGCGCTGGACGTAGCAGGGCGACCAAGACTGGCTCCCTTTCGGCTCTGAGGTCACCTTCCACAGGTTTTTCTCGCATGCGTGCAGGGTCTGGGAACAGGGAACAGTGGGACGAGGGCTAGGGGCAGCTGGGAGCCGAACATCTCTCTCGGCCGAATTAATTTTTGGATTGAAAGTCTTGGCGACTCTCAGGTGGAGCTAAACAGCCAGGAAGCCGCGACCTGTGCCGCCCGGGCCATGCAGACGCGGCAGTCCGTGCCGGGGCCCCCGTGGGGCTCCTGGGGTCCGGGATCCGATGGGGAGCCTCACACAAAGTCCAATCTCGACGAGGGGAAGCAAGGCGAAACCTGCAAGAGGGGTGGGCCCAGTCGATCCATATTTAGGCTGAGGCTGCATTGAACGTTGGTTTACCTTCAAAAAAGTAAGCATTGCTACACAGGACTGAACAACACAATGTCGCCTTCTCAATCCGCACGAGATGTTGCTTCTGCTGAGGTTGAGCCTCCCGTCATTGGTCCCTGGCGTGTATCAGATTGAAGCCACGGTTCGCGAGCTTAGCTTGTGACAAGTACTTGGGTACAGTGTGCAGGGTCCAGCAAGCATTTTGCACCGTCTTGCTCTTGAATCTTTCACTCTAGGCATAAAGAGGTGACGCAAGGAACTATTTTTTATTGGATCATACAAGCTCAAGCCCCTGCCTTTCTCTCCTGGCCGCGAAACCCGAGTCATGAGTCCTTCCAAGGGAGGAAGTACATACCCCTTGTTCATACCCCTTGTTTTTTGTTTTGCTTTTAACTCACCTTATGAGGGGTATATAGAGGGGTATGAACGTCAGCAGGCCTTCTGGGTTCATTTGCCCAACGGGCATGTCAAAGTATGTACACGCACCCTTGGAGTGCTGGCCCAGTTGGACACCGAGCCAAAGCCCACGACCACAGCTTTCGTGACGGTGGAGACGAACTCAGGGCCTGGGGCACAGTCAAGGGCGGGGCCAACCGTGTGCCGCGTCAGGCGTCAAGCATTCGCCCGACTTCGTGTAGCCTTGATCCCCTCAGGCCGCAAGTGCAGATCCTGGAGCCGGTTGTGCCAATCGTGCGGTCAGGCCACGGTGATTCGTATGCGGGACACCCATCGCGGGACATCCTTTGGAGCACGTTGGCCAGTCAGATGCAGCGTTCGACGAGACGCTCATTCCTCACGGTCCGTTCTGGCCGTATTTGATGTGAGCATGTTTAATCGTGGCCAGGAGAAGCAGAGGCCGCTTTCTCAGCAATCCGGGGCCCGGGAAAGTGGCTCAGGTCGAGGTGTCCCCTCATTGATCTCCACGACTTTCTCCGAATTTCCAATTTCTCCCCTTCAAGGATGTTCTTCTCTTTTTCTTTCTGTTGCCGCTCTGCCGCTTTGCTGCTTTGCCGCTTTGCTGCTTTGCCGCTTTGTCTCTGATCCAGGCTGTGCGCTTCCGGGTGCGGCTCCAAGCCACGGCCTGCGGCAAGGGAGCGCTGGCGGCAGCGGTGGCTGGGGTCCCAGTCGACGTCGAGCCGTTCGACTCTTCCGACTCTTTCGACTTCTTTTTGGGTCGAATGCGATTTTTGGAGCTGGAGGTGGTGCTCTCCGCAGTGCCCGGAGACCGTGGCGCGGCAAGGCGCTGGCAGTCCCTGCCCTTCGTGACCGCCTTATTTGCTTTGCGAGGCCCTCCATGGTGCTGGCTGCAAGCGTCATGAACATCTCTGCGGATCTTCAGGGGGACGACACCTTTGAGGCTGGAAGGTGAAGGAATTGATATTTTGATCGAGAGGAGGGGCAGAGAGAGGAAGAGAGAGAGAGAGATTGGCATCCTGTCAGATCCATTCCAAGGTGACCCAAATTTTGAGCGGGCTAGGGAAGTTGGCATGATGGCTCGGAGTTGGAGTTTTGACACAGAGCTTGCACACACACCAGAAGCATGCAACGGCAGAATTGTTTTCGCATGTCAAGATGCTTGCTGGGACACAGATATCAGTTGGGAATGCAGTTTCCGGCTTTGTTTCTTCAGTGCCTTGTGGCTTCGCTCTCCGCAGCTCGTTTTGGCGCACAGTTTTTGTGCCAAGAGAGGAGCGATCCATGGAGCAAGGCCGGGGCTTGGGGGCTTCCAGCCTGCGAAGCGATTCTCAGGGAGCGACGTCTGAATCGCAGAGTCGCAAGGATCTCCGCCCATCAAGCTCTCCCCCAGCGCGTCGCGCACAAGCCTCGGCTCTGACGTCTCGTTCAAGACCCTGAGGAGACTGCAAAAGTGCAAAACATATTTTAGGGTGCACTTCTCAGTGTCCCCGCTTTCAACGCCTTCTTGCATTCTTCGGCCAATTTGTTCTGTCCGAACTTGCTGGGAGCATTGCGCTAGGAAGTCTAGCTTTCTCGGCCCGGACGACAACAGAGAGGCACATGCCTTCACCCTGAAGAACTTCATTTTGCAGGACTTGACCCGGTTTCTTTTGGGGGGTGGGCTCGGTTGCCGGATGGGGTCGCCAAGTAATAAGCAGTCGCACGAGGACAAGCTGGAAACCCAGATCCGGAGTGACCTGAAGGCCACCAAGTCCATCAGCTCCTTGGCCCTGTAATGCCCAGGTTGCCCACAGGTTGCCCACAGGTTGCCCACAGGTTGCCCATGCTTTCCGAATTCCCGGTTTCAGAGAGAGGCTTGAGCGCTTGTCATGTGTTGTTTGAGGCTTGGAGCATGTGCACCGAGCGGAAGAGAATCACGACAAGAACAAGGAGAGCTTTCCAAATGGCGAATCCAGGCTGTGTGCCTTGGCTAACAGGATGTTGCAGGCATTCGGAGATCCCGCACTGGCCTCCAACAGCATATTCTGCGAGCCGCTTGTACCGTCGCGCTCGCTTGGCCCTTGCAGCACCTAGGTGACATCACTGCCGGCCCAAGCCTCACCAACAAAGTTGCCAAAGAGGCAAAGGTCGTCACTAAAGGCATCAGAGGCAGGTTGCTGGATTCGAGACGGTATTCTGTTCGAGCTGTCGTTGGACTCAACTCAACTCCTTTTGCTGAGCCGAAGAGCCGGAGGTGGCGCAGACAAGCGCACCTTGCTCCCTGCTGTGTTGGAGCTCCAGGGCGAGGCAAGCGGCAGAACTTGCAGAACGTCTCACCGTTGTGAGTTACATGGTTGCCGGCAGAATTCCCGGCAGGTTCGGACAACCTTTCAGTTCTTGGCGACCCTTGCGTTTTTCCTCATCTTCACCCTGGCATGCCAGCTGCCCCTTGGCATCGAGGGATTGGTCATTTGCCGAGCCGAAGTCGCTTGTTTTGCCTCACAGGACAGGTGCACCAGGCACACTTTCCACTGGAATCAAATACGATGGCAGCACTCCTAGGCATTACAGGACCTATTCCATTCACTTGCAAGAGAAGTGCCTTGGCAACAAGCGGCTTCATGTGCCGCTCTTCGGGAGCTGCGATCGTCTCCTTCTTTCGTCGGGGCATGTTGTCAAACATTGAACTGGTGGATCCAAACAGTCTACATTGGTCGCATTGCGCCGTCAGTTTGCAAGGCTTTACTCTCTCAGGAACCTGCGGACTCATCTCACAGACAGCGCGATGGAGGTCAATGAGATCCCGCAGATGTTTGAGTGGCTGGAGCAGTCCTGGTTTCCTTTCCTTTGGTCCATCCCCAACGCAGCAGGCCGGTCCCTCTGTTTCTCGAGGGTCTTGCAGATTACAGCCTGTGGACCGCGATTGAAGACGCAGGCAACAAACTTTTTACGTTCTTACTGAGAGTTTTGTGACCGGATTGCCAGTTGCAAAAGCTCCATCGGCATCGGGCTGTGAGGAACGACTAGCAGCCTGCTGCCCTCCCGCGAGCTCACCCTGCTGGGCGGTTCCCAGTCCCTCGAGCAGAAAAAGACAAGACGACTTGTTTTTGTTTGAAGACATGGACGCCCACTGACGCCCCAAATTTCCGGCAACTGGGGGTCTGACAGCAGTGCAAACCATCCTGGCCAATGTCAGCGGTTCTCGATGTTCGACATGCGAGGCCAATCTAAATGAGCCATCCTTGTATCACACCTTGGTGAGTTTCGAGATAGCGTTTGGTGCACGCCAACCGTATGGACGCACACTGAGGTTGAAGGTAATCAGCACCCCCGAGGAGGAATGCGTCTACGTGCCTGGGGCCATGTGCTATGACCAAGGCGGGGCCGTGGCGGACCCGAAGCGCTTCCGAAATTGGCGAAAGGTCATTGGGGACTTTGACAGGTGAGCGAGCAATCAACTATGACCCAGTCCTCAACGGTTGGGAAGTGGGTCGACGACTTTCCGCTGGGACTGAAGGCCGCATGATGCAAATTTGCATAAGTTGTGCTTTGGTGCTTTGTCCGCGGCGGGTGTTTGCACAGCGGCGTGCGTTGGACCTCTGTTGACATGCGGGTGGTGAAAGTTTTCAAGTGGCTTGCAGGCCCCGCGATGCTCATGGAGCTCTACCGTTCCTGGCGGCCAAGCCTTCCGCAAGACATGCCAGCGCAGTCCTGGCAGGCCTGGCGCATTCGCCAAATGTGGAAGACCCGTTTAGACTTCCTATGATTAGAAACTGAGTGAGTTTCATGAGCCGAAAACGCCTGAGCCGTGCGCGAGGTCAAGCGCCGTGAGCCGGCACGCCGCCCTCGCCGCCGCGTGCAGAACTTGCAGAAGGCCCGGCGGCAGCTGAAGGGCGGCCTCGAGGGTCTGCCACGCAAGACCCGCACCTTTGATGCATTTCGCAACCCACTCCCGGTTCTAAGTTTCTTGATGAAGCCAAAGTGCAAAAAATGCCCCAAGCTGCGGCCGGAAGGTGGGAACGCGGGGGAAAAGACGAGCATGTGTTCTCCGTTGCCGTGCCCAGGAAGCAGATGGTTCGAGACATCCAATGAGGATAAGCCAGAGCGGAAGACCAGGTGCGGGCCAGAGCATCATGAGACATGCCCTCTAGTTGGGTTCGCATGCAACATCATTGCTCGAAAATCAGAATTGACATTCAATTTTTTAGCCAGCGCACATCAACATGGCCATGTACTTGGTCCACCTCTAGCTTGCATGAGCCTTGAGTGTTTGCGTGGTGCACTCAAAAGCATCCTTGGTAGGGAGCGTCGCTTGGAGCCAACTTCATCGGCCGCTTGGAGAGATTTTGAGGGTCTCGGGCTGACAGAAGCATCGGGTAGGTTCAACCGAGAGCTGCGCAGAGCATGTGGCTGGAGTGCGACCAAGCTATGCATAGCTAGGTGATCATGGATGGCCTGCCTGATCCAAATGGCTATGACAAGGCGGGGATTTGTTCGACAGGCGAGGGCCTGGACCTGTGGCTTGCTTAAACTCGGATCGACCACTGATGCAATCCTCGCAGGCAGCGGTCACCATCATTCCCATGAGCCGAGCGCTCTCGGCCGTTTCTGCGCAGCTACAGACGTGGCAGAGACTTGGCTGGGCTTTGGCAAAGTTCCCCCAGGCCCGTGGCGCTTGTCCCGTTTCAAATGCGGTCGGCCAGGAATGAATTGAGCAGCCTAGTCTCGGAGAGGACCTTGGCAGCTTGGATTTTTAACATCGGACTTTTAGCATCGGTCAACGAAAAAAACCAACCGCTGAAAAGTCTCAAGAATATTTGGTCACGCCCAGGTCTTGGGTGTGGAGGCCCTGCTGCGCAACGAGAACTCACAACTCCTGACGCGCGTCTCCGTGAGTTTCCTGCTGAGCCGAGGAGGCAAGGCCTAGGCTTGTCTTCAGGCATCCGGCAGGCCGCTGTCGACAACCCAAGTCTTTCATAGAAGAGATGTACAAATAGTTTCACCGAGGTGGCCCCCCCTTCCCTTCAAGGCTTGCTTGAGGTGTCGCAAGGTACTGGGCGTCGTGCGTGGGCACCCGAGTGGCAACAACGGCCGGCCAGGAGCTGTTTTCGTCCAGGTGCGTCTGCTGTCGTTGCACACCCTGAACGATACGACGGCATCTTGTCAACATTGGCGGATAATGAACCCGCAGAGTGAAGACTGAGCACCAAAGTTCAGCCTCAGCAGAACTCTTGCCCAAGGTCTCCACATGTCACGTTGGGGCAACGCCTTTCGGAACCGTGTGCCGGACGTTTTGGGCATTTGCCTTGCTTGCACGATGGCTTTAGGCAATGCTGTGCGCTGGATTGTGGACTGTGTTTCTAATCGGCACCATCGTGGCAACTTGGTCGGAATTCGGCCAAAGTGTTTAACATTCAAAGCGACCTCAGCAACTGATGTGTGCGTTGGCAGAGCACCCAAGGTTCTGCTGGCTCAGATTGTGATGGCCTTCTCAAACGGAAAGGCTTCCCATCACTTCACAAGGATGGCCACGTACATCCAATGGGGCATTGCAACTCGGAGAAGGCATTTATTCATCAAGCAATCCCACGGTGCGCGGCATTGAAGCGAGATCTGGCCGGAATCTGGAAAGGCTGAGTCTTGGTCAGGTGACGGTGGGGGTTGTCATCGTGATCCTCATGTTCATGGAGAGAGTGGAGATGATCCGAGCCAAGGGCCTTGTGGAGGACTTGTATTTGTTTGTTGATTTGGCCTGCGGTGCTCCCTGAGACATGCTCTGGAGTTTCATGCTCAGCACGTGTCTTTTTTTCTTCTCATTTAATGGCGAGGTCCGACCTGACATCTACGGCATCCATTTTTGACCCGTCTTCCCTTCCCAGAGATACGCTATCTATCCTCTTTACCCACTACGCAGTCCCTTGAGTTTGGCGAAATTTCTGGAATGCTCATTTTTGCATGTTT